AACATAATTTATTTATAAACAATATAAAATATAATAAAATAAAATGTCTAAGTATCATACTTGGGCGTACAAAATTTTTGATTTTTGAAATCTATTTATGCGACCTTTGACCTTTAATATATATTTTTTTACAGATCTCGGATCGATAAGGACTTTTCACATTTTATTTATAGTGCCGCTCGTATTATTCGCACCAATTTTTAGCTTTATGCGAGTAACTGCAGCCTTGAGAATTTAACTCGAAAATGTGAGAAATTAAATTCTCTAGAAATTTGTATGCAACCAATTTTTATGAAAAATGCAAAATAAAATGATTGCAAATCGTAAAAAAAAACAAAAAAAAATCATAAAATCCAAGATGGCGGAATGTTCCCATACGAAATTTATGGGTAAGACTGGATCCATTATCTTTTTTTTTTTGAGACAAAGTTTAATTTTCCTGGGCCAAACAACTTTTTTATGACTTATTTTTTTTTTAGGTTGGTTGGAAAGTATCCAACTAAAATTATTGTAATTGTGAGTTTGTGAATATGGATGTTTGTGGCTCAACCACGTGAAAACTACGGAACGGATTTGATAAAATTTTGCAAACAGATAGTTTATGACCTGAATTACAAGATAGGAAATATCGGATAATAAATCAGAAAAACTTAAGTAATTTTGAAGTTTATTAATGCGCGTTAACGCTAAAAAAAATTACTTTTATCAATTTTCTTAAGTAAGGATCACACGATTTGTACATTTGTCCACTTTGGCAGTCACAGAGTGATGTTGTCTATAATAATAATGGGTTCAGCTCAATAAAAACTTTTGAAACAACACCACTCTGGAATTGTGAAAACGAACAAATCTGTACAAATGTACAAATCGTGTGATCTCTGCCTTAGCGTTATCTACGAAACTACTTAAGTTTTTCTGATTTACTTAGTCGAATTATGGCTATTTTCAACTAATGCGGTTTGTTTAAAAGTAAAAATGCAATTCCAAAGTAATTAATTTTTGGCGTTTCCTGCAAATTGCTCAAAATCCTAAAATATACATGTCACCAATAAAAAAATCTCGACGTGCTAGAAAAAAATCAAAGATGTATTTTAATTTAACATACCTAGATATTCAAAAAAATAACATAAATATTGGAGGGGGGAAACAATATTTAAATTTCGCAGGCCTGTTTAATTAGTCGTGCGAAAATTACAATTTAATTTGCCCAGGTCAAATGTGTTTTTGGTCCACATACATACATACATTTTTTTATAAGTGACAGAGTGGGTTATGAGGTATTGCTTAAAGGACCACCTCTAAAATTTCGATTTATACATGCACACATACCTATAACCCATCAAAATCATTTATACTAATTTCCAAAGCCGCTAATTTTTCTCCCTTTCTACTACTTTTAAAATGCATGCCACAATTAAGACAGTCTACCATTTGGTGAGTTCGTACTGACATCACATACATATGTACATTAGGGTGCATAACCAAAAAAAATTTAGTTTTTCCATCGGAATAATAAAATTTGTAATATCGTAAGACTTCACCCAAAATAGTTCGGCAAAATATTGAGATTTATCAGAGCTGGACCAATTTGAAAATACCTAAAGAAATCTCATTAAGCTGACTCCGTTAATAAAAATTTTAAACATTTTTATGAAGATCATTTAAGGCATACGGCTTAGCTAGAGCGTCGGCTAAGAAGAGCATAATGGTAGAACATGCCTGAATTAAGGCAGGCGAAATAACTTCTGGGAAGCTATAATCCCAAAAGATCTAAGGAACTAGTCAAAACACTAACCTGAGTTATATAACAGAGATGCTAACGGGGCACTGCAGACTGCGAGCCCATATGCATAATATGGGGATGAGTGTAGACGACTTGTGTAGGTGCTGTGACATGACACCGGAAACTCCACAGTATCCTGAGAATGCGATATGGTTGCGAGAAGAAGGCTAGCACATCCGGGAAGTATGTGGCCAAAGGCTACGTATATACACTCACTACACTGCCTCGAAACTGCTTGAGTTCATCAGAGTACTGGGGCTAGATGAGTGTTATGTATCTATTTACCCAATGATTTCGCGCTATTGTGTCCAAATGACCCGATACAAGAATTTGTTACACTCACTTGTAGTAAAAGGATCTAAACTTTATTTGAAAACCCTTTTTTTTAGTCTTCCGTTGCTAAATTTGAATAAATTCGGTTTGAAATACGCACTTTTGTGTGTGCGGAAAGGTGTTCTGGCGCAAAAATACTGTGACCAGCGTAGCCCGAGTTGGGCGGAAAGTTGTTAAGCACAAAAATACTGTGGATGGCGCACCCCGAGTTTACATTTTCTCCCCAGGGGTCTGTGGAAGGGTTGACTTTTTGCGGATTCTAAACTGTGCTCCTTCTGGTGGGTAGGGTATCAAAAGCCGCGCCTTTCCCCCTCTACCCAGTAACTTAACAATGGGCAAATAAGTAATTTTTCAGCAAAAAAACAAAACCGAGAATTGAATATTTTTTTTTGGGTATTAGATGGAAAAAACTTAATTTAAATTTTTTGAGTCTCCATAGGGGAATCTGTACATTGCCCCCTGTACGACAGGCCTTAACCGTATCCAATCGGCACCAAAATTTATATGTGATATCCGTGACCGTGGTATTACGGAATGAGTGGGTGAGACTGAGATTTAAGGACCACCCTAGGTAACATAAAAAAAATCCGACGAATTGATAACCTCCGTTTTGTGAAGTCGGTTAATAACTAAACATGTCCCCTATATTAAGCTTAAACTCTATCTTTAAAACTAATTTTACATATAAAAACTTCGATTTTTCATAAATTCTAATATTTTTCCGAAGTATTTTGGCGGAAGCGTTTAAATATAATACACTTGATATTTCCGATAGAAAAACAGTGCCGATTTTTTTGTATAGAGAGTGATGGACCCTAATGTACATATGTATGTACATATCTTATCTTGGAGAGAATTGGAAAGAACGGGGAATCGAATCAGTGGTTTGATTAAATATTTGTAAAGCAGCAGGTCGCTAGAAAAACAGTGTCAGGTGAGTATTAATTGTTGGACGAATCGTTTTTTGTTTAGAGTCTTCTTTAAATTGGAAGAATTTCAGATTTTTAGCACCAAAGCAAAATAGTAAAAGCGCACATTGGAAGTATGGCTACCGTCACCTATGAACAAGTTAAAGATGTGCCCAATCAGCCTAGCACCTACCTGATCGATGTGCGGAACAAAGATGAACTCGCCAGGACTGGTGTGATACCAGGCGCTATAAGTGTACCAAGTATGTAATGTGCAATGTTATTAGTAATACTGAAGTGGGTGTGACAAACGGGTATTTGAATCAAGGAGCAAAGTTCTGGTTTACATTTATGTACAAACATGTTTCATAACATCCTCCGCCCTTCTACCAACATGCCTATCAGGAGGAGAAATCTCTGTGAGATGGCTCTGCAAAATCTGGTTGCCAGAATTAGAATGCCATCACTATGAAAGAATTCGCCTTTGGAATCTTGCTAGACTTTGAGGGTGTTATGACAATGCCACCTTCAATAGAATGTGCAGCTCGGCTGAAAGGCATGACTTTGTTTAACGCTCGCCTGGAAGGTCGTTATCCTCATGGTGGTGTGCTTTCTCCCTTGCCAAGCACCAGAGGTAATTGGTTGTTGTTGTAACATCATGAAAATTTTCCAACAAAGTTTTTGGGGAGTGTTGCTGAAGTGAGGTCCTTGGCCTATCTTGGTCGTTCCGGTTACGTAGACACGGCAGGCCATTCTCTGCCAGTTGTTTGCAGGAAAGCGCGAAAAGCACTGAATATGATTGATACTCGGTGTAGTGATAATAGGTCCGTTCAACCGACCAAAAGTATGTAGTATTGTGCTCTTTCCTAGGAGAAGCTTGGACAGCATTGTTGCTCTAATGGGAGTCACCATTCAAATTTCTCCCGAAGTACAGTAAATAAATGTTTTTGGACTTAGCAGATTTTGTTTAATATTAGATATTTCTCCTAATTCCGTTCAAAAAGTTATTTTTACCGAAAAGGGGAGTTAGTAGAATTTACCACAACGTCGACGATACGTTCTCATCATTTTTTGAACCATAAAAACGCGGTACCGCACTAGTTATTAAGTAGTAAGACGTAAGTTCTAACATCGATGAGTCACGTTTCGCGTCGATAAGGATTTTTTTTTTTAACATAAAAAGAATTGGGTAAACAGTAAAGTATGTCAATGTACATCAATAGAGATTTTCCTGGAATCGATTAGATTCTGAAAAAAAACAGTTCTGGTAGCGGCACTCGGCATAGAATGTCAATTAAAATTCTACCCAGAGATAACGAAAACCGCTAATTTATTTTCGCCGATTTAGGCAAAGTAGTCGTTTGATCATAGAGAAAAAAGTTTTCAGACGTTTGTTTTATCGTTTAATTTCAAATATTTGGGTATTATTTTTCTCAGTGCCGGAGCTGGAAGCTGCATTTCAAATGTCTGACAACGACTTTAAAACCGCTTTCAATCGTGACAAACCCAGTGAAGGGACGGTGCTGATATTCTCTTGCCAAGCTGGTGGACGTGCCAAGCGAGCTTACGATTTGGCAGTTGCGAATGGCTACAAAAAGTACATTAATCAAAATATAAATACATACATTTATTATATGTCATTTACAATTTTTAGCGCCAAGTACTACCCTGGTTCATGGACTGAGTGGGCGGAAAAGGAGGGCTTGAACAAGGCTTAAGATGCGATAAGTGGACGGACGCTGATTATAGTCCGACTTTGTCGTGTATGTAGCAGACATGGTAACTTAAAAGCAATCAACGAATACATATGTCTGAATGTAGCACACTATAACTGCATGTTTCCAATTTAAAATTAATCAAGCGGTATGCTATTTATTGCATTTAAAGTAGTTTACAATTCATGTAGAATGTTAGCGCTTATTAAATAAATTAAAAGTAGAAAACTTAACTAAGACTTAATTATTCAAGCGTTAACAACACCTATGCAGAAATTATGATTTAATTTCTTGTAGCTCACCCCAACTCTGGCCGATTTTCAGTTTGACTTTAAGTGGTACGCTGAGTTTAACAGAGTTTTCCATGGTAAGGCTCAAGATTTTGGCCACCTTTTTCGCCTTATCTGTGGGCACTTCGAACACCAGTTCGTCGTGTATGTGCAACACAAAGCGCACTGCATTCGCACTTGTAATGCCCAACTTGTCTCGGAACTTTTCAATATTTTTTTCCATGCGTAATATAGCATTCTTGGCTATGTCCGCAGCAGAGCCCTGAATAGTCGAATTGATAGCCTGACGTTCAGCTTGATCTGCAATGGACAAAAGACCACATATACAAAAATATATATTTAAGGCATCAATGAGAATTGACGCTCATGCGTTTTTCCCTTACTTTTTTGCTGAGCCTCTCCACTATTGATATGCTCCAGATAACGACGTCGTCCAGTAATGGTCTCTATATAACCATTGTTGCGTGCGAATTTAACAATTTTATCAGCATAGGCTCTACAAAATAAAGTCTTATTAGGTTAACTTATGCAACCGTGCAAAAATAATTCCTCTTGCATTACCTTATACCTGGATAAGCCAAATGAAATTGCTGCGACAGAGAACTCGCTTCCTGTTCCGTGCATTTGAGTGAATCTGCCAACCTGCGCATTCCCATGCCATACACTATACCATAACAAATTTGCTTGGTTCCATTACGCAATTGTTCTGAAACATCAGCTTCCGATACCTTATGCCAACGCGCCGCTATTGCAGTGAAAATGTCCCGATTGGTGTTCATTACTTTTAGCAACGCCGAATCCTATATTCGTACGAATTATAAAAAAGTTTGTATGATATATCTTTGCAAATTCATGTGTAGTTACTTGTGAAAGATGTGCCAGTATACGCATTTCGAGCTGGCAAAAATCGGAGGTAAGCAAGCATCGACCACTTTCTGCAGGAAAAAATGCGCTGCGACAAGATATTATCACTTTTTCGGCACCTGCAATACAAACACAAAAATGCAATAGTTAGTGGTAAGGACAACATAGTATACATAGTATATGGAATATACCGACTATATATTGTATGTACCTTCATAACTGATTTCAAAGTCTTTCGCCACATTTTGCAAATTTGGTTCATTCATTGAAATGCGTCCAGTTTGAGTGAATGTGACGCTCTGACCATGTATTCTGAAGAAAACAATGGAATTACGTAAATAAGAAACAAAAATTCAAAATAGTTAAATAATATAACCTATTCTTTTGCACACATTTCAAGAGGGGTTGTATATTTTTTGTTAACGTTGTGCTTAATTTGCGATATTCAATGATGGCTTGAGAAATTGGTGAATCGATCTTTTCGAGTATTTGCCGTGAAGTGCTTATACGGCCGCTGGATTTGCGATGAAGACCGACAACCTTAAGTTCAAAGGATAATGTAATTCAAATAGGGAAATATATAAATAAAAAAGCCTGTTATACAGATAGACTTGCTATTGTTTTATAGCGGCATTACCTTCGCCACCGCAGCAGAGGATCCTAAATTGAAGCGTCCGCCATGCATTTCGTAGATTTTCAATTCGAGCTTTTTCATCGTTTCTAGCATCTGTTGGAAAAGTTTGCGCAAAGCTGCTTCATTCGCTGGGAACCCAATCATTTCCATATTGCAAAGTGAAGTTTGTAAAGGCATTTCAAGTTCTACAAAATCATAGGGGTTTCTTTAAAATGTGAATGTAATGCTAAAAGATACGACAATTAACCTTTAAAAAATTTGTACAGTTGTCCTGAGCCGATGCGCTCCAGATTCTCTATTTGTGCTTTCAGTATATGCAGAGTAACGCAAGCCTCGACTGAACATCTACAAATAATTTTTATCGTAAAAAAGTCATCTAAATTTTCAACTTAAACCTCTGCAATTACCTAACCTTGGCCAAAATAGCGCTAGCCGTGTCCAATCCATGGCTACCATAACCACGTCCATTGCCACACAAACTAGTAAGGGCGGTGCATTCTGGTGCGAATTGCTGTGTCTATCAAATCGATAAAACTTAATACATAGATATGCAAAACTAGCTGTTATAACTTACTATTTGTTGAAAGCTCATGAATTTGTCTGGCTGCAGAAGCCAATTGGCCACCTTTGGGTCCTCCAAATCAACGCGCAACTCACCGAGTTCGCCCAAAATGCGACACAAGATCTTCATTTGCTCCTTGGCATCGACACAAATTAAAGTGCTACCGCTTTCCGCTAAGAGTGACCTCAAAAATTGTATTTTCATTTCCGCAGTCACGCTTTTGCAGGTGCCTGCGGTTTGCATATTCATATAATAGACTATATTCTCGGTGACACCAAATGCACAACCGGCCAGATATGTATTATCGTCAATTTGGAAGTCTTTTGCTGCTACATCCTTCCCAGCGGCATCGCCACCGGTCATTTGGTTAATAAGCAAATTGCCGCCTATTAGTGGCTTACGTTTATTTTCTTGTTGCTGCAAGCCGACACAGAAGCCAAAACGTTTGACTTCTATGAGCTCTCGACATGCAGCCTGGAAGAGTTTCTGGTCCCCAGAGATATCCACCACCTCGAGGCGATTAAAATTCGCTGATGCCGTATCAACTTTTGAGCAATTTAAAATATGTGAAGCATTCAATTGCAGTGGATTTTTGAGCAATGAGTTTTCTAGTGACAATTCAGAAACCTCTATTGAACTGGACGGTGGCGAGCTTGCGGTGAGTTCTTTTTTTGTTATACCACTTTTTTGTGCTTTCAGACGTTGAGTGGTGCGCAGCAGACGTGATGCATGAACCGAGTGCTTCGCAGGCGCTGGAGAATCGGCCACAGCTTGTACAATTTGCTGAGATTCGGGAATTTCGTCAACATTGCTTTTAGCAGCCTTTGGGGATGCAGACGAAGTTTTTAGCTGATTTCCAACTTCCAAAGCAGCCTTGATGCCAGTATTTAACTCGAAGGAGTCATCGGCCATGAAAAGCGATTCGTCCAAGTTATAGTTTTCATTTGGAAAGTGCTTGGCAGCAGCGGATGCTTGTGGCATGGCAATTTTCGCGTCCACAGAAGTAGGGTTTGTAGAAGTAAAAGTGCGTTGATGGTTGCGTGGACTACGACGTGGAGCGGACGGTAGTACTTGCGTCGCCTTAGGTGACTGCTTGTGAGTACTTTTGGTTGTTGTCTGTTCATTCAAACTCTTAGGAGTATGTCTAACCGCCTTACCATTGACATTTGGCGTAGTCTTATATGGAAGGTTCACGGAATGTGGCTGGGCAACTGCTATCTGTGGGGGTTTGGCATTCTCGGTAGATTTGCGCAACGAATATTTTTTTGTTTCGGTATTGACCTTCATTTGAATTTGCTTTCTTTCCATTGATTCCGCGGCTTTTCCCTCTTCTACCGAATTTGTGGCGTTATTTTCCGAAACCCTGCTTCTAGCCACGACTTGGGTTGCTTTGAAATTTTGTACAATTTTGGCATTTCCTCCATCCGCGGGCACCTTGGCATCGGTGTTTTTATTTTTCTCTTCTTTACGCCCCTCCGAAGTAACAAGCTTATTTAATTTGCTAGTTTTTGTACCAGGCGATACTCCGGATCGCCCAGTTTGCTTTTGTGTATTCTCATTCATTTCAACAGTTGTTTGTTTTAAGTTTTCAGGTGTGATACTACTACTTTTAGCTGCCACATTTTCTTTATTACTGGCGTTTATAGAAGTCTTCGCTATGTTTAGATTCCCGCCAGGTTTTTCATTATTTTCAAGCCTTTGCTTATTATTTTGCTCTGCCGCCTTCTTTTGCTGTTGCCTTAATACACACAATGCTTCTTTACTGGTGGAAGGTTTCTCCTCCAATAAATCCTCCTTGACGCTAGGGCTCAGTCTTTTTTGTTTTGGCGGCGTTACCTCAGCCTTTTTAACNTTAGCTGCCACATTTTCTTTATTACTGGCGTTTATAGAAGTCTTCGCTATGTTTAGATCCCCGCCAGGTTTTTCATTATTTTCAAGCCTTTGCTTATTTTGATCTACCGCCTTCTTTTGCTGTTGCCTTAATACACGCAATGCTTCTTTACTGGTGGAAGGTTTCTCTTCCAATAAATCCTCCTTGACGCTAGGGCTCAGTCTTTTTTGTTTTGGCGGCGTTACCTCAGCCTTTTTAATGCCGTTACTCTTCTCACTTTTACGTTTTCTACCCTGCTCTATTCTATGCTCTTCATAAGACATGTGAAAACTATCTGCAGAAGTGGTATCATGTGCATCTTCTTGTGTCCACTTAATTGTGCCTACACCTATTTCATACTGTACGTACATGCGTGCTTCTTGTATTAACAACTTCGCGCCTTCAGCAACGGTCAAACCTATTTTGCCAGTTATGAAAAAGTCACGCACTTGATTTCGCTGCTCAGCTTCGTAATCTGCTTCATTTTCATGTTGCTTGGCTGAATCGAAGCTCAAAGCATTATATAGCACCTTTTCCACATCGAAAACGTCCGCATTTGCCAACTCCACAAGCGTCGTTATACCGGCGTCAAATAGTGCGCGAGCACGTTTATGATTTAAATCCGGTAAACGCATTAAATCAATAAGGTCTCGGTGTATTCCAAAAAAGAGGCGCTCCTTAAACTGTGACACTACCAAGGATAATGTAGACCATTGCAGTGTGTTACAAAATGCGGTGACTATGCCAGCGAATGTGGACGACATTTGCTGTAAGCTTTGCAACATGCCGCGTGTGCATTTATATTTGGCGGCTACTGCATTTATGGGTACTTCATTGACCAGTTCCTGTAATGCCAACGCAGTGTAAAATCTAAAAAAATTATATTTGATTTTCAATTTGCGAATGCCGGTAATATTTCAGTTGTTAAAGGTGGCTTATTCTATAACCTTTTATGTATTTGCATAAGTTTATAGTCCAACTTCGTTTGCCCACGCATGGCACGCACTAAAAAGGATTCTTTTACACCAACGAGTTCACCGACTTTTTTCATAGCTGGCGACAATTTTTCCCACATGTCGAGAAAGAGCAACCAATCGAGGTCCTGCAGCTGGTAGCATACCGAGTAAGGTGTCACCAAATACACAGCATGCAGTTCTGACTCAAGTACAAAGCAACGGCGTGACTTCTGCAACTCAGCGAAAAGTAGAAGTCCATCAGTGGGCGGCATGGATGCAGCTAAGAGTAATAAAATATGATTAGTCGTTGTTTTTTATTAAGAAATTCCGGCTTACACAAACACGCTTGGCCCAAACGTGTTGCGACGTAACTTTCTCTATTCGTTTCGCTATCAACTTGCAGTCGTACAAACTCGTATTCTACAAGAAATTTAACAGCATCTGTTATAAAAAGATTATCCCCGTCTTCACTATTGTCCTTTCCCTGTTCGCTAAGCTGCTTTTCTGCACTTAGAAGCGTACATTTTACGAAGTTTGCAATATCATCTTTAGTNCATTTCTTGAAGTGCGACGGGGCGAAAATCTGTAATAAATAGCTCTGCATCCAACCAACGCTTGAGCAATTCAACGTTGGCTAACGTCGCTGACATAGCTACCACTTGCATCTTCAATCCATACTTGCGGCACATGTACAACACTTTAGCAATCAAAAGTTCAAGTATGTATCCGCGACCAGGATCGGATATCAAATGCACTTCATCAACGACAATAGTGCCTATGTCAGCCAATTTGCCATGCTCTAGAAGTTTATTGATGATAGAGTTGGCCTTTTCTATAGTACATATGGCGACATGTATGTTATCAAATCCACCAGGAGGTGTGTAGCCACCGAAAAATCCCTCAACACGATAGCCAGCTACAGTTAGCAAATCTTGAAGATATGCCATTTTTTCGCGTACCACAGAAATGAATGGAAGTATAAATAATACTTTTTTACCACGCTCCAGGACAGTTTTTAATATTAAAATTTCGCTCACTAGAGATTTGCCAGCTGATGTAGGAGCAGAGTAGACGAGGTTACAATGCTCGAATAGAACCTGCAAATTGGAATTCATTATTACTCTAAGTAATTCAATTTAATTTTATACCTTGGGATTGCTTAGACACTCGATTTGCCAGTCGAACATTTTAACGACGCCTTTCTTTTCGTATTCCTGTAAAACGCTACGGGGTAAATTCCAAGCGCTAATACGCTTCAGTGATTCCAAATCTGTTGCAGCCTTTTGTATTTTTATCTGAGATTGTTGATTTAAAAAGCCTGTAGCCTTGGACTGGATGCTATTCTGGACATACGAATTAGCCTTTTCTTTTTTTAAAGGGGCTGTTTCCAATGTCTCTTTTACTTTTGCAAGTTCACGGCGACTTTCTTCCAGCTCTTTTGCTAGTTGTTGATTTGCCTCTGAATTGTGCAGATCTAAATACACAAATCTACTATTATCCAATTGGTGTATTTCAGGTTCTGCAGTCATTTCCCTATTTTTCGATATATCGTTTGAGCCATCAATTGGTAATTCCGGAAGAGAATTTTGAACAGACTCATTCTTATCCTCGTCAATTGGTTCTATAAGATTTTTAAAATCTTCGGAAAATATT